ATAATTGCCATGGCAATGTAACATTTCCCAGTGCATCGCAGAGTACATGACATAAGATTATGAATGTAAACATATGTAAAAAGAAAGCCCTCAGGTGGTTGTTAATTTTTGGCGTTGTGTAATTAAACTAGTTTTGTTAAATGTTATCTTTTGCCAGTATCTAATTAGCAAAGCCATCTGCTGAAGGAGTAGTAGTCCATTTGCCTGGAATGTTGTTCTCTTCATTTTTATGAAAAGTGTCTGCCTTTGCTGGTCCCTATCTAATTATCTGGCTGTGGAGTGTGATAATACACAGCTTTGTTTATATAATTCTGAGAACTGTGGATTATATGTATGTAATGCCTACATAAAAAGAGCCAATCTCTTTTTCTTTTCTGCATCTGATTTACTCCTGAGATCACAGCTCTATTTATCCTAACCAGACTATGTCTGTGTGCAATCCAGTCATATATGTGCTGTGTCTTGAAACAATGCGGGCTTCGTTGCATCCTCAGGATTATTTATGCAGATATAAGATGGGTTTTCCATATGCTTTTTTTGTGTTTAGTTCTCTCTGTATGTTTGTTACTTCCTGAAAGCTGATGATATCGTAAGTCAGAGTATGTCACTGGACCTGAGATAAACTTGCATATGGCTACTGTAACAATGAAAATGAACACTGTTGCATCCTCAGATTTAACATAATTCTGTCTAGGCTGATGGAATACGCTTATGTATGCTGTATTGGAAATTAATATCTGATATGTATCTCTATGTCTGTTTTTCCTTCTGTTAATTACATAGAAGAGTGTCTTCCATTTGGTAGGTACTTAATGAATATTTATTAAATTAAGGAGATAATTAATGCATGTGCATAATGCAAACCTGAAAGTTGTTGAGTAGTACAGGTATTATTCGTAAGTAGCTACAGAAAAAAAATTTCCACAGACAGGAATTGTTGTGTCTTTTAAAATGTAGATGCTTCACACTCACTGCCTACTGTATCCAATCTCTGAAGCTTCCAGTAACCACAATATTACTGCTATATGTCTGCTGCTGAAACATTAATCCAGACAAAGTATTGAATGGAGTAGAGTAGAAATATTTCTTTACTGGGCTATCCTGAAATAGAAAAGGACAAAAGATGAAAAAAATTAAATATTTTTTAAAACAGAGATTCAGGAAATGAGACTATGAATGTTGTGTTGAGATCTGAAATGTAGAATGCCTTAGCATTTGTTTTGACTATTATAAAGATAGGTTTGGGTAGGTGGAAAAACGTCTTTAAATAAATTTGAGTACAAGTGGAAAGGTGGCTTCTCAAATCAGTAGTGGGATTTGATCTATAATCATAATACATGAAAGAAAATCTTCACTAAGAAATGAATGAAAAGACTTGATTAAAAGGTATTTAGTTAATTAGAATGGATCTGGAAGAATAAGGAAGAAGTGACCAGGTTAAAAAACAATCTAATTTCAAACAGAAAAATGGGTCACTGTAAGAAATAAGATCCCATAAAGAAGAGGTCCATTGATATTCTTGTCTCCAAATAAGAATATCAAAAAATTTCATATCTGCCAAGTGATCAAATGGTCAACGTCTAGCTCACCTAGTGAATAGGGGGACACTATGGGATGAATCTGGAACTCCTCATTCTAGTATAATCTGGAAAAGCCACTTTTCTCCATTCCATTTCTTTTCAAATTCTGTGCTATCCAATAATATGTATATACTCCTGCTGTCTTCTGGAATAAAGTTCCATTCTTAATATAAAATTTCCCATTATCCTGTTCTGTATTCAGGTAGAAAGTGAACAGAAAAGCTGTACAATCATGGTCTTTAATTAATTCTGGATTTGAATATTATATACAAGCTAGTGAGACTGTAATAAAATTCCTTAGGAAATTAACTTTTTCTAGTCACTATCTTCAGAAAATCTGTAAGATTTGTCCTATTTATTATTGGTCTAATAAACTTGTAAGAGCAGTTGTTATTTTTTGGTATGCTAGATAATATAATGAAATATATTTTTTTAAGTCTCACATTCTTCCTTCTCTTATTTTTCCCTTTCAATCCTGGGCCAATATTTATCTTGAAAATGCAAAGGCTATTGGGGCATTAGGTAGGCTTGTGAAGCTGTTTGTTTGCCATTTCAGTGGCAGGATCTGAACAATTTTGATGACATTTGGTAAATATTCTTCTCTCTTAGCCCTGGGACTAATCCTGCTCTTTATAGCTTTCATGCTTATAGAAGAGAACATTACTATTTAACTTTTAACAAAATCACTAGACCAATGAAAGCCACTGTGAATGCCTCTTTATCTAAAGTACAGTTTTCCTAGTAATTGTGTAACACCAGTTCCTCTTGCTGATATGTAATACTAAATCTTCTGGCAATATACAACTGAAGTTATAATGAGGTTTACTCCATTGAAAGAATATTCTATAGTATATCAATCCTCAAGCCAGTTTTAGGTTTAAGTAAACACCAAGATGTGGACACCTACTTAAATAAAAACAACGGGGTGATCTTTCGTGAGGAGACCTATGAAAGGAATATACTAAAGGTCAAATCAGATGAACAACAGTGTATTTATTTTTATTTATTTTGTCTGTACTTCATGGGGATGCAGTTATGCAGCTGTATGGGAGGCTGTTTTCTCTGGAGGTGTCACTGCTTTTCATGAAAATATTTGTCATCCTGGTATGGTATTAAAGTCATATGTTTGCATCAGATGCTGATTAGCTGTGACTTTATCATTGTCATCAAACATTATGAACAGGGAAACATCACAGAAGGAATTAACAAATTCTCTTATCAGATGTTGACACTGACAGAAATCTTCAAGTCTGCACAAGGGAAAACAGTTATAGCATTGTTTTGTTTCAAAGACACTGAAGCGGTTCTCTCTAGAATACTATTCTTATGGAATCATCATATTTGCCAAGTAACATAAATCATACAAAAGGCAGTGTTTTATGATTTAATCTCTGTTATGTAACATTCTTTGCAAGGCAGAAGATATTAGTGAATGGTGTTAACCTGACTTCGTTATTCTCCAAAGTTTGCATAATTAGGAAAAAAAAAAACATTTTCTTACTAGAAATAAGGACAAATTCATTATTTTCCTTCATATGACTTGATACTAGGTTGTTTTTGGTTTAGTTTATTATTTGACATTACTCCAAATTAACAAAAAAAAAAGTCTCTATCTCAGAATGTCTTTCTGTTAATGATTGTTACTGCATATCCCTGATCCTTCAGAAAGCCAATTTTAATAGTAAAATAGAAAATAATTGTAATAATGGGTGTGGAGAATGGAGAAAATATTTTTACTCTATAAAAGTCCACACTCTATATAATAATAGAAAAGAGAAAAAAGGCCCAGATGCCTCAATTTGCTCAAAAAATTATTCACAACACAAGAGCTAGGCCACGGATGTTTGCGGGCATCCTTTCTGTAAAGCAAGCCTTGTCTATTTTCTTCACGAATCACAGATTCCATTTGTGAGTTAGCCTCAGAGGTGAAAGCACACATAGCAAATTAATCAGCATAAGTGAGATTTGGAACTTCTGAGAAAAAAATATGTAAAAGCCGTGGCTCTAAATATTTAGTCAGAGTTAATAACAGTACGAAAATGACTGGTATCGGGGAAAATCCTAGCTGTGCTCTTTGCATGAGCTGCCTGTTGACTGACTGTCATTTACATATGTATCTTGGTAGTAAGGATATGCAAAATCATTCTTCATTATCTATGAATATTGATAAATGACATTATTTGAATAAAATATAAAGGTTTAAATGAACATTTAAATGATCTTGTCTCACGGCCCCTCCTTTAAGCCTCCTCTGGGTCTATTCTGTGGCTTCACTGATCATGTCTGCAATCAGTGGCATAGTCACCAGCTCATTGTTCTTCTCTAACAGTGACTAGATCTAAACATCGCGTCATCACTACCTAAAAGCAAATAGTAAGGGGGAAAGTCCTTATGCCTCAGTGTTAGAGCTAAATATAAGCACATGACTAAATTTCATGTATTTGGTGTAAATTCGATGAGTGTGAAAATGCTGGTGCCAGGGTGCTGCCATATTTCCTAGTTTGTTTACCAGTGCCTTGTTTATATTTTCCCTTTGATATAGTCAAAACCATGATAGCTGCTATTGTTTTGGTATTTCCTTATTACACTTTAAGTTCTGGGGTACATGTGCAGATCATGCAGGATTGTTATATAGGTACACACATGCCTTGGTGGTTTGCTGCCTCCATCCCCCCGCAATCTACATTAGGTACTTCTCCAAATGTTATCCCTCTCCAAACTTCTACCCCCTGCTATTCCTACCCTAGCCCCCCACCCCCCAACAGGCCCCGGTATATGATGTTCCCCTCCCTGTGTCCATGTGTTCTCATTGTTCCACACCAACTTATGAGTGAGAACATGCAGTGTTTGGTTTTCTGTTCTTGTGTCATTTTGCTGAGAATGATGGTTTCCAGCTTCATCCATGTCCTTGTAAAGCACACGAACTCATCCTTTTTTATGGCTCCATAGTGTCCCATGGTATGTATGTGCTACATTTTCTTTATCCAATACATCATTGATGGGCATTTGGGTTGGTTCCAGGTCTTCGCTATTGTAAACAGTGCCACAATGAACATATGTGTGCATGTGTCTTTATAATAGAACGATTTATAATCCTTTGAGTATATACCCACTAATGGAATTGCTGGGTCCAATGGAATTTCTATTTCTAGGTCCTTGAGGAATCGTTACACTGTCTTCCACAATGGCTGAACTAATTTACACTCCCACCAACAGTGTAAAAGCGTTTCTATTTCTCCACACTCTCTTCAGCATCTGTTGTCTCTTGATTGTCTAATGATCGCCATTCTAACTGGCGTGAGATGCAATCTCAGTGTGATTTTGATTTGCATTTCTCTAATGACCAGTGATGATGACCATTTTTTTTATGTTTGTTGGCTGCATAAATGTCTTCTTTGTTTTGGTATTTTCTTTCTACAGGCTGTGGAATGGGAGTGTGATGAAGCTACCAAGAAGGCCTGTTACAGCAAAGGCAAGTCAAAGGTAAGAAGGACACAGTTATGAGCAGGCATCACCCTGTTTTGAAGCACTCGACACTACATAAAGCACGTTGATATGAAGAGTATTGCTGATTATGATGCCATGTAAAGTGAAAAAAGCAAGATTCAAAATACGGATACGGTATATTCTCAAGTTTTTAATGTTACGTTAAAATTAACCACAGCAATCAATCATTTCCAAAAAGGGTTCAGAACATAAGAAGATCAGATCTAATTTGCCCTTTCTGTCACTAGACTAAGATAATAAATTAATTTATTGATAGCACTGGAAGAAATATGGGCCTGAATTTTTAAACTGTTTTAAATTCCTCCTTTTCTATTTTACAGCTAAATCTAGAAAGTAATGATATGATAAATGAAATTATTACCTAAAATGTTATGCTTTGCAATTTATCTCAACCTGTGTTTTATAATGCACTCTCTTTGATACTAACATCTACCTCCCCATGTTCCTATGGAATGTGCAGTTTACATCTAAGGTTGGAAATATGTTTCTTGAGCATGTGTGTATGGCAGACTTCTTTCAAATATTTGTCTGGCTCAGAAAGATGCATGACTTTGCCTTTCAAGGAAGTCTATGTGTCTTTGAAAAAATTATTCATGATCAACTTGAGGAAATTCTTCTGCAGCTTGTGCACAGGCTCACTGTGCCTCATTCTGTTAGCGAACGTCTTACATTGTATTGGAGCATAGACTTTTCCAGTGGTGAATTATGCTTTGGGTTGCAGAAGAAAGCAGATATACACAGAGCAGAAGAGAGGGCTCACTATGCAAAGCTGGTCCCAGGACCAAGAGCTTGGGAAAAAATTTAGCAAATACAGAGGGCACTGGCAAAAGATCCTCCCCCTTCTGTATTTATAAAAGAGTAACTCTCTCTTATTTTGCCCCATTTCATTGTCTGCTTCCCTGCCTTTAAACTGAGTATCTGTGGAGTCAGACACTGAGACAGGTCTCAGCCAGCTTAGATATGGGATTTCTCAACCCTGAATAAAGGGGTAGGAAGAAGAGAAGGAGGAAGATTCAGTCTTAGTTAGGGAAACACTTAGAGACAAGGGAGAAGTAAAGCAGAAATTGATGAAGGCTATTTTCCTGAAGATATTTAACCTCAGAAAAGGCCTCTGAGATAAATCGTCAGAGATGTAAGGAGTTTTAAAAATACTCCAGTTGATAAATACTTAGAATCTTATGTCTTCAAATGCTGTCCAAAATAAATAAATAATGCAAAGCCCACACATCGGGGACCCCTATAACCTTCTTGGTGAGTTTGTAGAAATGATGTATAGAACTTTTGAAGAGGTGCTTTCTAAATAGTTTCCTTTTTCCTCCCGGTGGTGTTTGAGTCTCAGTGTGGGGGTTGTGTGGCTGAGCCCTCGGCCCCACTTCACTGGTCAGAGCACAGTCCTTTAAATAATACCCCGTGTGCTGAGTAATGAGCGGGAACCTGGACAGCCAGACTTACATGAAGTGAGGGTGGAAAGATGGCTTTCTTTGTTTCAACTAGTCAGATTCACTGATGCAAGTGCCAGCCTTTCCATGCTTCAAAGGCCTGCACTGGGCCTTGCCTGGGGATATCAGTGCCTCCCAAGGGGTGCTTTGTGTGATGCCTCATATGGTTTGGCTGTGTCCTCACCCAAATTCCATCTTGAATTGTAGCTCCCATAACTCCCATGTGTCCTAGAAGGGACCTGGTGGGAGGTAATTGAATTATGGGGGTGGGGCTTTCCCACGCTGTTCTCGTGACAGTAAGTCTCACAAGATCTGATGGTTTTTAAGGAGGAGTTCCCCTGCACAGGCTCTCCTGCCAGCTGCCATGTAAGATATGTCTTGCTTCCCCTTCATTTTCTGCCATGATTGTGAGGTCTCCCCAGCCATGTGGCACTGTACGTCCGTTAAGATGCTTTTTTTTAGAAATCACCCAGTCTTGGGTATTAGCAGTGTGAGAACAGACTCATACAATGCCCTAGCTCTCCTTCTTGCTTTTCCCCACCTCTTTTTTCTTGGCTTTATCTTCCTTCTGGTACTTTGACTTTTCTTTCTCCTCTTCTTTCTTTCTGGGTCTTAGGGGCACACCCGTAAGTACTATTCAGCTTTGAGCAACCTAGTGAGAGAGATTGCTGATGCACACTCGTCACAGTGTCTGTCCTGAAAATGTGTAGTTGGGAGCCCAGACCCGGGGGGCCCCACCCTCCTTCCCTCTCCCGGGTTCCAGTGCTGTTTATATGTCCAATCTTAACATACCCAGCCCATGGTGGGTATATAAAGATGTTCCACTGAATGAGTGAATGAACCCATGAAGCCCATTCTAGGGCAGTGAATTTTAATTTAGGGCTTCTCCTCCTCATCATTATTGATGTTTGGGGCCAGATTGTTCTCGGATATGGCAGCTGTTCTGTACATGGCAGGATGTCAGCATCTTCCTTGGCCTCTGCTCACACAGACATGACAATAAAGAGAGCCACACACATCTCCAGGCTAATTTCCCAACATTAACCTGATGGGAAATCCCAGCTTTCATTTCCAAATGGTAAATTTATTTGTCACTTTTACATTGTTTATTTTGATTTTTATGCGCCCTAGGAGTGCTCTCATATTTCATCTAGATCATGTGTATATATTTGTTACAAAGATGTTTAAAAAATTAATAGTTAACCTCCTTCCTGTTTATGAGCTTTGGTCTCCTTGCACTCCTTGTATACTAAACGAGAGCATCAGATTACTTTATGTAGTCAGGAGTCTTTCCTCCCCATAGTCTGGAAGTCCATAATTTACAAAGAATCTGTGTGGTTGCCTTTTGCTAATAGATTATTTCTACTTGGGGTGAAAAATTGCTTCTGCTAAATCAGAACAGGCCCACATTTTGCCTTAAGCTGTGATCATTGGTTGTTTGGTGCTTAGAACTTAAGTAAACTGAACCCAGAAAACTGTTAGGAAAAGGCCATCTTTTGTGACTGATAGGTAATATGCCCTTGGTTCACAGAGGAGACCAATCGTTACCACACTTAATTGAATTTTCTTGATACACAGAAAGCAAATGAGGGAAACAAATATTTTCAAATAAAATCAAACCTTTATGTTTCACATACTTTGGGTTTTAATGGATTAAAAAAATGGGAAATTTTAGTAATTATTAATTGACTCAAACTGCGTTTGTGAATGGAATTTTTAATGCTAATTTAAGAAGATAGATGAAGATGAGTGTCAAGCACCATGTACTCTGAGAAAGACAAATCACATGTTCTTTTAGGTTGGATTAAGTATATTGATAAATTCACAGAGAGTTTAAATAACCTCTGCTGCCTTGAAGTAACGCTTGGTTTATGTAACAGAACTGTGTGCATTGGAAGTTCCTGCGTACAAAAACGATGCCATAGCTTTGCAAACGTGTCTATCTGGATAGCATTGCGACGGGTTCACGGGCGGTGAGAGGAGAGGGCTCTTCATCCACCTTTATAAGTTTCTCTTTCTTATTTGGCATCTCTCTTGCTTTCTTAACACAGTAACTGAACAGTGACCATCCTGTGACCAAACTGGGTGACCAAGCCCAGCTCCTGAGACAGAGAAGGGAAAGAAACAACGCAGCCCCTATGAACAGGGGCAACTGGACCAAATGCAGCCTCCAAAGGACTGCCCCTGAACTCAGAATTCAGACAATCCTCATTTCCCCATTTTGACAGTCCCTAGGAGCCCATTCAGAAAACGTTCTCACAGTCAGTTTGACTGATAGGAGACGTCTCTGGGTGAATGGAATTGAGACTTTTCTTAGCAGTCATGAGCTTGGAAGGCGAATTCAGCTGTTTTGTAGTTTTGCTTGTGCTGAAGTTCTTAGGACGGCTTACACAGAATCACAAAGTTTCCCTTCTCCCCGAAATAAAAAGAATAATGCAAAATGTGACATCTCAAAAATGAGAAAAATGCCAGCAATTTAAACTGAACTTGTTTTTTTCCTACTCTGAGAAAAGTGGTCTGTGCTGCCGCCCATAATGCATTTAGCTGCAGAGCGGAGCTGGAATGCGTGCAGGAAAGAGGTGGCTGGGCCTGCAGGGAGGACACTGCCAGTGCCCACTCGCCGCTCTGATGGGAGCATTCCTCAGCTTGCTGCCACGCGGGGGAGAACAGAGATGACAGATTTCCCCTTGTTCCAGACATAGATAAGATTCCACATGTAATCTTTTGAAAGTACAATTTAGGAAATTAGGGTCAAGAGAAGTTTCCAGATTTTTTATTTGGGCCAGGTTTGTAAAGAAGGGCTGCCAAGCCCTTGTAAAGTTTGAATTCTGTTTTATTTAGAAAATATTCACCTCACTTGGAAAAGAGGGAGTGCCCTTGTCTGCAGCAGCTAAATATTCCATGGGAAAAAAAGTGAGTGTGGAGGGGAATCTGTTTTTATGGATTCAAAAAGTTACAATAAAACCTGTTGTATTTAGTTCTTTTGGACATAACATTATAGAAATTGAATTCTATAACTACTTAAGTATCTTTTACACAAATATTATTTTAAACACAAATAGTTCTCTCACCACCTAACAAGAGGTCCTTGTGTGTGTTGGGCTATTATGTCTGACTGACTTTCCTCCCACCCTGACATTTAGGAACTGTACAAGGAAACACAGCTGATTATTATGGGAATGAAAGAGCTGCTTTATGCTTCTGTTACACTTTATAATTTTCAAAAGTTTTTGTTCATGATCTCATTTTAGGATTTTTGACACCACGTTCCTAGAATTATTTTGCTAGTTAGTGGGAGAGTTTTGATTAGAATCCAGGGCTCCATGTATTGTCCTCCCTGTCACAGCCTGTGGTCCTATTTACCAAGTTGTCAAATTATGCTGGTAAAGAGGTAAACTTCTAGTGAACAGGAGGAGAAACTCATGACGTCATACTACCTAAGACCCTGCTGGTATAGGGCTGGATCTTGACATTTTGTACCCAAGGGTCAATATGTGAAAGCTGTGAGTTAATCAATACACAAAGCACATTGTAGCC